AGCTGCGGTGCCTTTATTTATGGGTGTGCGTGTTTTAAGCAGTATTTCAGCACTCCTCCGGCTAAAGCACTCTTGCCAAAAGTTCTCCGTCCCTGCCGCAGCTTTGCTTAATGCCTTGGCAGCGCTCGCAGCCCTGACCCAAACCTGTGTTCCCCATTAAAAACCTCCTGGGAGCAGCTCTGCCCCAGGGCAGAAACCCCCAGGGTGAGGGGCGGCAGGAACAGCGGGCACCGCTGGGCGGGGGCTGAGCTCCCCCTGCTCCAGGGCCTCTCGGGAGGCAAAGCAATTCATCTCAGCCCTTCTCGGCAAATCACTCCTGTGACCACACAACGCGAGCCGGCCATTCAGGCTGAACCTTGGCCATGTATTATCCAGACGGCGAATCCCGCTGGGCCCGGCAGCTCAGCCCCGCTCCCGCAGCTCGCCCTGCCTCCCAGAAGGCATCTCCCAAGAGCTGTTACTGTGGCAAAGGCAAAACTCGGTCCCATGGAAAGGACACACAGTTTTACATCTCCCGCCTCCCCTAGAAAAAAAAAAATACGCCGGGAGGTGGCTTTCTGCGTTGCTACAATATTAGTGCATGGGTTTACAGGGAGAGCAATGCCAGACCTGATGGAATTGCTCGGCTGCACTAATCAAGGTTCAACTTTTTCGCGATCTTCCCTCTTTTTCTCCCCATAAGGAAATAGGGATTATGGAGCCATTCAGTGGCAAAGGCAGGAAGGGAAGGGGAAGGAGGGAAGTGAAAGAGAAGGAGTGGGAACAGAGCCAAATTGCACAGCGTACCTTTTAAGAAGCAAAAAGTAGAGTCAGAACAGCAAACCTAATCTCCAGCCCAACGCTGCCTGTTAACACTCACACATCCACATGATGACTAGCAAATGCAAATGCTCTGGGACGTGGTGGCACCGATGGGTCCAACAGCAGAGGTGATCTTTGGGGCGTGACTGGTGTGCTTGGGCTAGCTGGGACGCAGACATCTGCAACTGCGTGCATCAGCATGTGCCCACACGAGTATCTCCTTCTGCTCCTGCTTCTCTGCCTGGAGGTGTCCCCAAGCCCCAGGAGCAGGGAAGCACCATCTGTACAGACCAGGACAGCCCTGTACCACCCGGCATGGCAGCTGCTGCTCTTCCCAAGCAAGCCTGGAGACAGCCAGCTGCATTTGGTGAGCCTGTAAGGCAGTCCTCATTGGCCTGTTTCAGGCCGGAGGAGCAGTTTCTCCTTTCAGCTCCTGTGGTTACCACAGGCAAAAGCAGGATTACCAACCCTGGCGTTTTTTTCCCTGCCTGCTCCCCACTTCCCGGCAGAGGTTTTGGGCAGCCCAGTAAGGACACAGCCTTGAGCACCCTGCCACCCGTTTCCCACGGCCATGGGCAGCTCTGTACCCAGTTCAGCCATGATCTATGGGAATACAGCAGTGGTGGCATTAGGCACAGTCATGTGGTACAGTCAGATGGGAAATTACTTTGGTCCCTGAGAGAGTCCTCTCCTGCAAAAGTGGCAAAAGCACAAGTGCCAACAACAGTATTCAAGGGAAAGGCACTGGAAAAAGGGAATTCAAAAGACAAACATCACATTGTGGGCTAAAAAACAAACAACCAAACAAAAAGCATTTGTCAGTGCAAGTTTCCCATTCCCATTTCCACGCAGATGAAGTCTGCTGCTCCCCAGCCACCTCCCTGCTCATTTGCAGGCAGAAGCAGGGGAAAGCAAGCAACACTCTGCATTTAGAGTAATCTAAGAAAAATGCCAACCTGCCACAGCCGCCAAGATTGCTTTTGCATGGCTTTGGATTCCAGGCTGTGCCACTTCGATGTTTAGGACCACTGAGGCTTGGCACAGCTTGGTGCACCCACCGCAGTGAGCAGAAATACTCATCAAGCAGCAACAGCCAAATGCAGCATTCCTGGGTGCTGAAAACCACATGAGTTTTGTCTCCTGTATCTGCAGAGGGGCAGGAGCAGACCCCCATTCCACAGATGTGGTAATAGCAGCAGAAGGTACTTGGACACAAATAACTTGGAGGAAGAGCAAGTAAAAAATTCTCCCTTTGGTTGAACAGACACCGGGAACTCCAACGCCCACTTTGTTTAAGAGGAAGATATTTGAAGGAGCAACAACAACCCACAGGAGGGAGAACCACAGTGCTGTACATCCCACATCTCGTGCAGACTGTTGCCAAATCAGTGGGAAGGTGACACATTGCAGGGAGAAGAAAAACAACTTTAAAATAATAATTAATGAATTATTACTGACAATTGGAAAAAAAAATCCCTGTTGCTTATACAAATGAACATTGGCATCTGGAGTTTCTAGCAATAATAAATATTTAAACACCTCCCTTGTTTTAACATAAAGCAGAAGAGAAATGCAGCAGCCACGGAAGGAGCAGCAGTGTCAGAACAGCAGCGTGGAGCATCGGATAAAACACGGCAGTGACTCACGCCCCGTCAATGGGGAGCAGGGAGGGGGGCACGGCACCCCCAGCATGGCACTGCTGGGGCATCAACATCACTCCCAGAATGTTTCTTTAAACTACTGTCCTGGGTAGAACCATGTGTGCCTTGCTGGTTCTTTTCAGAGGAGCCAGAGACAGAAATTGTAGCAAAAGCCCCCATGGCACATGTGCCAGGAGAACATCTCCTGCCTGCTCCATGGGGCACAATTTGGCAGCTGCAGGGAGCTGTTTGGCTGAGGCTGTCATGGCTATCTGCTTTCCTTGCCCAGCTTTTCTTTGCCATCGCACAAGTGGTGTTTTGTGCTAAGGGGATTCCCACCCAAAAAGCACTGACCCACATCGCTGCCTCCAGCCTTGCTGGCGAAGAACCAGCCTGAATCTCCCCATGCAGTGCTGCAGAATTAATGCCCTTCTCACTCCCTCCTTTACCAGCAAAGCTGGTGGCAACATCTGCACTTACAGTGCCTAAGTGCCTATTACAGGGTCCCATCTTCAGCGGTTCACAGCTTCATTCAAACCTTTAATCCTGCAGGCTGAAAGCTTCCAGGTGAGGAATCTGCCTCTAGCTCAGTGTCTGCCTTGAGCTAGGTGTGCTTTCAAATTCCTAGCAAAACCAACTCAGCTGTTTCCAAGAAAATAATTAGGAATAAACTGGCTAAGACCTGGCTTACTTTAACCTCTTTTCCAGAAAAAAAGAAAGTGTAGGGTGCACCAGTGATAGATCAAACCCACATCTTACTCTCTGCCCTTTGAAGTCCCCCTAGATTTGGTCAGCACCAGCATTTTAGGGCAGAAGTAACCTACATATTCACTGCTACCACTGCAGTTTGCATCCACTTTCTGATGCTGTCACGCTCAAGGGTGTAAGAGGTTCAGCATCAATTGCTTCATCCGTCACCATTTCCCAATGGAATCTGCTGGCACAAGCAGAAGAGCAGCAGCCTCAACACTTGTTGGGGCACCACTCCACACAGCAAGCACCCTACCTACCTTGCAGGTGCTCCAGCCTCCAGGAGCTCAGGCCTCTGTGCAGCTGCAGCTCCCTCACCTTCCCGGGATGCAAAGCACAGAACTCAGGGACCCAGAAGCCATGGCATCTGCCATATTTGCCTTCCTCTAGGGAAGAGAGGACTTAAAGGAAGGAAATACAGGGAAAGGGTAACAAAAAGAGTGAGCAAATGAGCTTTTTCCTCTGCCTGGCTTGGAGGTGCTACAGTTTTTCCTGGCTTCTCTTCTTTCAGCTCCTACAATTCTAGCTTATGTTATTGGAGTAAGATGTGCTGGGTCATGACAGGGAAAAAAAAAAGTGATCACCTAATAATCCTGCTCATGCTTCATCTTTGTGGTGAGACTGCCTTGGGATCATCCCCATCTTGTAAAAGTCACTCTTTTCAGCAGAACTCAGAAGGGCAGGGGCCAGATCGGTGCCCCCAAAGATCCCTTTTAGGATGGCTGCACCACTGTCAGGGTCAGTGTGTATAGAAGCTGGGTCCTGTCTAGTCCAGCTGTCCCAATCAGTGATACTTGATCTCACTGCTTGCATTCAAGGCCTAAATTGACAAAAATTAGCCCTCCTTCTGCTCTCAAATTCCTGTACGCTCTTTGGTGAGATTAGGATCCTGTGTGTGCCCTGCGCCTCCAGTGGACTGAAAAATACAATTTTTAGCATAATGCTTGTGACACATCAGATTGACACATGGAAAGGATGATGACTTCTTTACCTAAGAGGCCTCTCCCTGCAGAAAGTGCTATTCCATCCCAATGGCCTGCTTGAAGAGACCATGTAAAGGGTTATCAATTACTGCCAGCTCACTCAACTACCAAGGTGCTTTAAACAGTTATGACATGAGAATTCATGTTCCTTCTATTTACTACGCTTACTATTTCCAAGCTGTTTGAGTTTGAACTAACCATCCAAAAAAAAAAAAAAAAAAAAAAGGAAATGCTCCACCACCTGCAGAGTCGTTTCTGACCGGACATTTGCCGTGCATCGCAGGTCAGGGAGCGTCAGACCCCAGGAGCGTGAGAAGATGCCGGCCCCGGACCTCTGTGTGCCGAGAGGTCGCCTGCCCGCGCGTGCTCCAGCTGTGCCCTGTGCCAGCACAGCCTGCAATGAGCATCACCCGGCCAGAGCCAGTGAGCCATACTGGAGGCAAATGCTCTGCTTAATTGGTCTCAGCTGGAAGCTGCTCTGTGCATGTCAGCGTGTTTAAGGAAGCAGGTCTACAGGATAGAAGACACCAGAGTAACCAATTAAAGAAAAGCCCCTGATTTCCCTTCCCCCTCTCTCCCAGCCTGAAGCACTGGAAGTTTGTTTTGTTTTAAAGGAGGAGTGTTTCTCACTGTCAATGAAATCAACTCGAGAATAAGGTTTTGCTATTCGTATTTCCAAGTTTAGTACTGACAGCACCTGTGGAGATAGCTACAGAGACGTGGTTAAATCGAGTCAAGGTTTGCATCTTTATCTCTCATTCTTTGACTTTTTCCTTTTTTCCTTCAAAAGAGAAAAGAAATGACACAAGGAAACTCTTCATCCAGTTCAAATCCAAGTTTATTAGCCTGTAAAAGTCTGTTTCCACACAGTAATCATAAGAAATGAATGAATGTTTATGGAGCGTAGCATAAAAATATACCGAGTCAGCCATAGGTTGGAGTTTACGATTGCTCACAAAAATTAATCAGCAGATCACATGGCATTGCATCAGAAAGGCAAATCAGTCCTAGGAATGCAAACAATCAGGATAAAAAGGCAAAACAAGTAAGAGCAGAGTATCAGAAAGCAATAATTAGTTCACAGTTTCTAATGTGGGTGACAGGTTTCTTTAGATCAGGTTATTTACCCGCTAATTCTCCAAAAACAGGTTGAAAGCCAGTTGTCATAATTTTGCATTAAACAGTACATTCTCGGTCAACACGTCAGCTGCTCAAATTCACTATCAATCTCTAGGTATGACTATTAAAGTATAGGCACATAAGAGACTAGGTATATTCAACAGTCCAGCTCCTCCTCCCAAAGCTTGGAGGCCTCCAACACTCACAGCTAGAAATCAAAAGCTAATGTGAGACATGTGGGTCGAGATAGTCTAGTCCCTGTCTGGACACATAAACCTTCTCTCTTCTTAAAAACCTCCAGCGCACTATGGGTTCATCAGATCTGGGGAGGTTCACCTCTCTGCTGGGCACAGCAAACCTGACCCCTGGGAGGGCAAGGGGTGTTGGACATCTGGCATAAACTTGTGTTTGTTGCATGTACCAGGGAGGTGGCAGTGGGAACGTTCCCCACTGGGTCCCGTTTGCTTTAGTGTTGATATTCTGTAGGGTTGTGTCCGATAGTCACGCTGATGTACAGACTTTGCTCACAAGCAACATCCGATACAGAGAAGACCCATTAGGAGATTTGGGCAAGCATCAGGAGTTTCTGACCTGGACTAACTCTTCCTTATCTTTCCAAAGGAAAGTGTCTAGCCAAAAAGAGATGTATTTCTTCTAATGCTTTGGGCTTACCTGAAGAATTACAGAGGGTCAGTGTTACTAACTCTGTAAAGAGGGCAGACTTAAAGGAGCAAGGGAAGAAAGGTGTTTTCTTTTCAAACGTAGGATGCTTAAACACACCATAACCCAAGTTGGGGAGAACTGCACTGAATCCAGGCTCTGACTGACACCACATCACCTGCAGATCTTTCTACCAGAATTCGGTTGAGTTATTTTCTAGCAAAGATCCCTGACACTACAAGTCAAGGCCTAATACAGGCCAATGAACCCACAGTCACAGCATCTTCTGTTATGGGGAAGTCATATTAGACTAAGAAGTACCTTTGAAGTTTATTGGGAAATTAACCCATTAAGGCTAATTCCTAAAACGCCTTTTCAGGAATGGGCAGTAGCATGACAAACTATTCCTGCTCATTAAATTAATAATAATGTGACAATCTTTTAATTCATCTGAGAACTTAGAAGAGCAGTGGAAATACTTTAGGCAGTCTAGATCCTTGTCTAGCAAGATTACATTTTGCCACCAGCATTTCCTTCATTCTGCCTTCCGTGGGCAGAAGTGCTTTGCTGAAGGACCCAGTGACCCAGCCAAACGTGTCCATCCTCAAAACCAAATGGCAAACAGAGATGACGCTACGGTGGGAACAGATCCTGACATCTTTGCTGATGTGGAACTTCACCTTTCTTTCCTCGGGTAGTTCCAGTGGTCTCACTTTACTGTATGTTCTGTGGTTATTACTGAGAAGTATTTCTTTCCTTTATAGATTTTGGGGCCGTCTATCCACGCTCGATGCACGCTGGTGAACTGAGTAGATCCTTACAGTGGAGTAAGATCGAACTTATAACTAAGTCACCTATACAATATCCTCCAATTTCATGAGCTATCTGGTAAAGCCCATGGGAACCTGGGGAGGACTAGAGCCTCCCGGAAGACACACTGCCCTGTATCACCAGACCATTCGTAATTTCAGACTTGTTCCTTGGAAATATATGAGAGCACTGAAATGGCTAGTGGCAAAACCAAATTGAGTCCAACACAGCCTCGAAGAATTGAGCTTCCACACAAAAGGGTATTTTCCTTTCTTTAACAGGCTCGGTAATAAGTTTGCCAGTTTCAGCTTTGAAGAATTACCCGCTTGTTCTTTGGAGGATTTTTTAGGTTAGTTTTTTTTTTTTCTAAATTAAAAAATAACAGCTATAAAAAACTAGAGGTAGTTTGAAACTGCAAGGTTCATATCTGGGGCAAGTATTTCTCCAGAGCTGAGGGACATTTTTCATTCAGACTAGTATAAAACAATACTTGAGGGGAAAAAATGTTGAAAGAGAAAGCATTAAAGGAATAGGAACTCAGAGACCTCTTCCTGCTTCCAAATCGACCGTCTCATGAAATGAATGTTTTTCCTCCCTGTGAATTCTATATTTAATCCAGAGAGATCACTGAGTATGCCTGAGCAACCTGGCAGCCCTTTTCCTCCTCTTCAAACAGACCTCAAGATTCACTCTTGTCTAATGAGCAGTCTACGTCTCCCAAGAACATATATCCTTACGGATTTCGATAAGAGCAGACAGGATCAGTGGAAAATCCACTTCTGTTCCTTTTTCTTTTGTTGCTTTCTTTAAAAAACAAAAGGATACACCAAGGCTCCCCCTGGAAAATCAGCTGGCATTGAAGGAATCTCACATACTAAAGGACCTACCTCATTTTTCAAACTCTTTAAAAATTCTGTTTTGGCACCTGAGAGCAGACTTTCTGTTGATTAAGGGGATATTTCCAGAAAAATGACATTCCAAATTTCACCAAAATCAGGTGACGTGCTGCCGGCACTGTCACGAACTTTCTCACCGATCTGAAGTTGCTTCAATGTTGGCAAGTAGTATGGGGAAACAAAATGTCAAGTGAAAACCATTTCCTTAGATATGTATATTTTTCTAGACAGGTAGAGAGCTGAAATTTGAACTGAGAAGCAGTAAAATGAAAAGGAAGATAATACTGTCATTCTCTCACAAACCATATTCATAATTCCAAATACTCCAACAGCAACAGGATGATCTATTCTCAGGACTATTGTTTGCTGCAAGAACTACAGATGAGATTTCACCTTTGCATGCTTCTCCCTACCAAGCTAACTGCTAATTTATCACATCACCCTCACTAGTCCACTCTTTTTATACAACACAGGTCTGCACTAAAGGGTTTAAGGCCTTTCTGTAATCAGTCTTGCTCCTATATCACTAACCTTTTCATATCCTCAAAAATCTCAAAGTAACATTCCTAGTCAAAAAAGGCAGTACTTTTTCTGCTATGTAAAAAATTCCAGAGTATGATGTTACCTTGAGTTGTACAACTTATGGGGTTTCCATCAATTGCCAATTGAGAAGGAATTAGTTTTGTAGCTATTGTACCATCACTTCATAAGCATTCATTCCCATAAGCAAGACTGAGGTCAGCATTTGGACCTTCTCGCTCATTTTGAGGGTTCTTTCCTAAAGGAGGTTTTCTTTGTTTAAGATCCCACAAACAGGACCTGTTTATGGAAAAAGAGAGATATTTTGAATACTAAAGTCCTTTATTCAACAACACAGAAATATCACAAAAACAACTTTACTGGGCAAATTGAATGTTTTTATACAGTTTTGTACATGCCCCATAAGTGATTATTTTTTTCATAAATACACTGTTTTCCAAAACTGTTTTTTTTTCCATAATTGCACAAGCATACATACACCTTACACAAATATCTATTAGAAAATTTAATAGATAACTGCACAGTTCAGAAATAGGAGAACACTGTGAAAGGAGTACATTTCTGTGGCCCATGTTTCTGAAAATACCCTCCTAGTTCCCTGCATTTGTGAAAATGGAGTACTTTCTAACATAGGAGCTGTCTTTTGTTCACTAAGAATACAGTAGAGCTCAGCGTGAAACTGCCAAATTTAATAAAAACAAAATCTGAAACATTTAGCTGTTACATGAGAACCCACTGTTTGATATCACTATGCATCTAACCGTGATCAAAGACCCACTACTGCTTTTTGCTGAATGCATTCGACCCTGAATGGTATGTTCATTTAACTACTTTCTTTCTTCATTATTTGATTACAGATATAGCCCATTTAAAGACTTTACATTCTTCAACATTAATTGTAGGACTTACATACCAGGGGGTCTGTACAAAAGGGAGTATTTTCCCTCATAGGGAGGGTCTGTTATTAATTGACAGAACGGGTATGTGTGCCTCCCTTTCAACCTTACAATTTTTCGTAAGTTTATCTGGGGTATGCCAAAAATGCTTCCATTAGGCTTAACACTCTCACCTAGAAGACGACAAAAGTTCTGCTTTTTTTTTTTTTTTTACCCACCCCCTTAGTTTTCATTTTTCATTGTGAGAATGAAGACTGGAGAAGAATATAAATTTTCACACTGAAAAATGGCATTGGATCTTGTGAAAAGCACGAATTCGTAATTAGAACTTGACAATAATCAGATTGACAAATATGTATATAAAGGGGAAGGGGAGGAGGGAAGGGCAGCAGAGAGAGACAGGCCAGAAAAGGGATTTCCTTCTTCAAACATCACTAATTAAAATGCTCTATGCACGCTACATCATATAAATACTGTTTCAGCAAAATCTAAAAACCTGATGGTCGCAAAGGAACAACATCCAAAAGAAAAACCATATGGGTAAATCAAAGAAAAATCAACTCTTGTTCATTTTCAGTAATCAACAGGCTTGCTTGTTTGTTTTAACAGTTTTGAATTGACATGTCAAACACCACAATTACAATATACAGACCAATCAGTTCTTTAAAACAAAACAACAAAACAACAAAAAAAAATAAAGCATATCAAGACATGCAACATTAGGGTATTAGACAGTGAGTACATTGCTATGAGTATCTTTGTACACCTAATGTAGCCTGAACTTAACTTTGCCTCTGCTTCTGTAAGAGCAATCGGAGTTTTCCAAAGAGCAAGGCAAGCTTACCAGCCAGATGTGCAAATAAGGCTTCAGTTTGTAAATCTATCAGTGCTTTGGTAGAGAAGACCTTGCAGAGCTCATATTGGTCTAGTGATCAGTAACAGAGGCCCTAACCAAAACGTCTCAAACACAAAAAAATCCGTACACAGCTGCCGTACAAACAGACATAAAGCTCACTGAATGGGCACTGGATGAGTATTTAACTAAGGATCTCTTACAAACCGTAAGAGGGGCACCATGATAGAAGCATTTTAAGTGTGACACTCCACTTCTGAAGCCACGGATGTGATGTCATATGACGCAAAGACATAGACACATGCATTGACCCTAAGCTGAGGATGCAGGTGTAAGCCCAGCCTGCCCACTCTCCTCCAGTTACCCTGGGTCACCCATGCTCTGTCCAGTCCTGCTGACACACACATGTGACCTCTGGAGGTTTCTCCTCCTCCATCCCTTGGTCTTCGCTTTCTGGGCTGTTCCCAGCACCTGCCAGTCCTGTGAGCTCCCTCACTTGCCAAAGCTGGCATCTTGCCCACCTGCACAGGTCCCACACTATAGCATTCCCAACCCATCCCTTGTGCTTCACCATGTAAGCGTGACCAGGGGCCAAAGGCTGAAGTACTTAGCAAAAAAACAGAGAAAGTGCTGAAACAGTAGGAGAATTGCATGTGCTGTGCGACATTAACTGGTTATTTCCGTGTCCAGCACCTTGTCTGTGAAACTACTGGTAGTCCTATCTCGTACAAAATTATAAATCTATCAAACACATGGCACAACAGCATTCACTTACTTTGATGGCATGGCCTTCTCACTTGTGAGTGGTACGACAAAGCCAAGCAATAAAAAGTGATGATCAGCTGTTAAGTATCCCTAAGTTTAGAATCTTCCATATTTTTTACAGCATGTGAGTTATATCCCTCTGTGTGCTGCCTTTCTATGGAGTAGACATTACCTCCATGCAGCTAGAGCAGGAAGAAGAACGGCTAAGCATTTTTCTGGGGGCCTAAGGGACCAGTCATTCAGCAAATCCAAGATCTGTGGACCAAGAAATGTGTGGGGAGAAGTGGTTGTTTTGAAAAGCATTTTTTTAAAAAAAACACCTCATTTTTATACTGCAAAAATATCCAGGCTCTCAAATGAGCACAAGTGCAAGTGCGACCCAAACCAGTCCAACTGTCAAAACTCATTTAACCGTGAAGAGCTCCACTTGAACCAAAAATACGGCATTCCACTTTATAAAATGCCTACTCCGTTGACTGAAAATGCTACACAAGATCTTGTAGGTGAAGGGTAATTAAGGTGAGTCATCATTTTTTCTAAAGTCTAGTACTCTGCTTTGCATCCTAGAACAACCTTTATTTGGATGACTAGTTTTGCACATCCACCTATGCTGGGCACTCCAGCTCAGAGCACAGTGGAAAATAAGTCAGACACCGGACAGCATTTTTGGAGAGATATCCCTCTGTAAAGCTCGTTTAGAAGCAATGCAAGTGCATAAACCACTACTCTAATAGAGTGCTTGAAAGATTAATTTTAAATGTAACGTCTTCCCCTCTCACAACACCACAACGGAAGGTAATTGCTTAGATGCGTCACAACCTTTTTTATCTTGGAAAACTTGGCATCAAGTCTCTATGGAAGGATGCAGGGTAAAACAGTGCTGCTGTTGCTGCTGATGCTAAACAACTAGCAAAATAATAGTTAAAGCTAGAATTTATTGCTCCGGATTTAACTCGCAGAACCACACTGTTGTGTACAAACCGTTTATCTCCATTGATGCTCAGACATGATTGTCTCCTTGTGTCTAAACACACAAAATACAAGCGGCTATCTGTACAGTTTACAGTACTGAAACACATATATTTGAAAATGAAGTATAGATATGTTACTTTTCAAAGATACATGACTTTATAGCAGGGGTTTACCCAAACTTTTTTTTTTTTTTTTTGTTACAGCCACTTTAAAAATAGACAACAACTTCACTAGTATAGCTAAGTTACATCAAAGAAAGAATCGGTGTACTGAATGTGAAGAAGCTGGCCAATTCCCCAGGCTCCCAGATTTTTGTCTTTTGCTTTTGAGGAAACCCCTATACATAAATGAAAATAGTGTCTGAGTATATTCTTCAATGGTGGACTAAGCAGTTTCTTAAAACAAGACTTTAGCTTGCCATTCACTTCGGACTGCCTTGAAAATAAGATACACTACTGCTTAAAAGAACCATCGGAATGCTTCAGCGCTGGGAACAGGTGTTCTCTAAAAAAAAAGCAAGAAAACAAGTTAAGCTTTCTTTTGCGGCATTGGCATACTCCAGTTCTAGTTGTTCTTTCCCTTTACACTTTAGGCATACTTTCAGTTATCTAGGAACAGCACGATGCCTCACATTGCTTGACAATTAATAGAAACATCCTTCTCCAAACACACACCATTTTAGGATCACACACAATACATCGTACTCAGTATGTAACAACCCTAACATGCTGTCTTCTCCTTAGTTAACGAGTTAGTCATGAAAATGTAAACATTGCTAGAAAAAAATATCTGGAAAACAGACAGTGCTTTTAGAATAACCACACAGTTGTACAATGGTTTCTGCCTGTGCCTTGGCATACTGGGCACACAGTTACGGCTTGGTTGGGTTTGCAGGTTTAAACACATGCTTTGGCAAGGCCATGTTTGTGACAGGGGAATAGCAAAGGAAATCTGTCAGTTGGAAAGTGTGCTGTGTCTACAGACACCTTGGGAACAGAGGTTGGTGTTTTGAAACCTCAGGCCGGCCACCTCGTTCCACGTTTAGGTTGCAATGCAGAAAGAATTTAAACACATCCTTGACTTCATTTCATTGAGGGGACACACCTTGGGGTGCTGCCCGGACTGCCCATGTACTTTCTTCTACACACAGTGCTGGACTTTGGCTTACACAGAAACGGTCTACTCACAGAGTTGCTACCCTCCCTCCTTCCCCCGCCTGTTGCCCCCTGGAAATGATATCCACTTGCATTCAGGTGCCTCCATACACGTTTCAGTGCCAGCAAATTCCCTTCACAGCTTTAAAGTACCACATACACGAGAAGCTGAGGGGCTGAGCCTGCAGGGACTGTGTCACTTCTGTAAGGTACTTCTTATCCTCAGTTTCCTTCAGTTAAGAGATTGTAAAAGAGCCCTTGAACCCCTGCATCCAGATCCACGTCTCTCCACCAGAACTAATGACTGCACTGTCCAAGGAAGCGAGAATGAGCCCAAAGATGACTCTGTATCAGTCTGTCCCAGCTCACAAGTACTTGTTTCATTAAAAACTACCCATGAACATTCTTGTTACATCCAAAGAAATTCCCCTAAAAGCAAAACTCTGGAAATTTGCAAATAAATACTTGTAACAAAAAAGTTCTCATGGATTTTGCTGGTGTCACATATAGATGCTATGTCTCTTTTTGAGAGAATTCTTTCATTTTTGTTTCAGGGAGCACTTTAAAATGTTTTCCTAGTTTTTCCATAAAAATCCAACAGACCATGGACCCTGCAGGGTACAATGTGCATTGTACTTGCTGTCAGAATATTTCTTTCTGAATTCCAGGGAACTGCTCATTAATATGGCAACTATTTTTTGTTGAATAATTAGCCCAGTTTGTGATAATCAGGCTCAAGCAGTACACAGCTCCTCTTTTTGTAAAAGCCATATGAAAGGAAAGCTTTTGTTATATTTAGGGGAGTTATTGTTATATTTATTGTTTGTCCACGTGGAAATACCAGAGATCAAAATAATTCTGCTGTGTCATTAGAAGTCTGACCTGTTGTCAATTCAATACCCACTCCCCCTCCGCGAATGTCACGCTTTAATAAATCATCCGAAAATTAACTCCCAAAGACAATGAACTTGTTTTTTTTAATACAATCACCCCGATCAGTGTGAGTTTCCTTTGTGTTGGTAGTCCAAAAGTAGGAATTGCTCGTATCCGTCTCTACCAGACCCTGTTCTGCCCAGTTATGTGAGCTGAGCATAAGCACAAGTAGTGACAAAGCACAGCAGCCCTCATCCCCAGGTACACCGAGGAGAGCTAATGCAATTGCAAGACCATCCGCCCCGGTCTTTGTGGGCTGTAAGATGGCTGCTGAGAGCGAGGTACACAGATTTATAATTTATAAAGAGGTTGGCTGCAGAAGAGGCTGGAGTTTGGAATGGCAGGAAACAATTGTATGACTAAATTGACCTCAAAAGAACAGTCAAACATAAAAACGTATTAAACTCGATAGATTGTCTTCATCTGAAAACTAAATGTAATATTCTGCTGTGGGTCCATCAGCCTGAACACAAAACCACGGCTAGACAGAGAGATTTAAAGACGTAGTGACTGAGATGGCCTTTATTTATTTTCTTGCCACATCAGGTTGAGTTACTGTCAGACGTTGTCATATCAGCTGGAAGTAAAGGTGTAATGTCTGATTAAAAGGTCATTCAGACCTTTAAATACACAGAATAGTATTTTTGAAGGGCAAAGCTGTGGTTTAATATGTGTGCTTTTGAAAAACTGCAAGATAAGGAATTTTTGCATCTGTGTACCAAGTTCTAATTAAAGATATACATTTACAATTAAATATCCATTGCATTAACTACCGATTTGGGAATGCATTATTAATCCACCCTTAAGCAAAAACTGAAATCTTTTAAAATTGAATCACTAGTTCAAGTTAAACCTAAACCAATTTATGTGATGAAATCCATAGATTTCACCCCTCTAAGAATGAAGGTTATTTCCAGACAAACAGAGACCCTTCAGCCCATTTAGAGGTTCAGCACACCAACATACAAGTTTAAATGCAATGACCATCTACTGCCTGGCTGTATAAATCCAGCAGTCCCAGCTGGGGAATCAAACTCTCGGCAAGATTACAGCGCATTTCTGGATCTCTGTGCTGCCGGTAGGGAATCATTATCCTGAGTGACAGGAAAGACAGATCTCCCTGGAAGCCTAGGGAGGGGTGGTGAGGAGCAGAACCGGAGTTGATCAGTGTGGTTTTGCTGCAAAAGCCTTCACTGATCGTGCCGGTGCAAATGCTTACAAGCGGCAGGCTCGCTCTCAGGAGGATGCTCAGAAATCTGCAGCCCTGGCTTCTCCAAGCAGGTAATGCCATAAACCACAGCACTAGAGAGAACTTATCCCTACACAAACCTGGGATGAAATGACCTCCACACTTTTAAACTCTCTATTCTGCTCCCTACTTGTCAGCTTTCACTGCAAAAGCAGCAGCTCAAATATTTGAAATCTGAAATTTTAATTGTTGCCTTGAAAAATCAGCTTCACATAGGGGACCAAGCATGCTACATTTTTGGAGGAGGAAGTAAAAAAAGACAAGAGAAACCAACAGAAAATCTTTTCAATGGAAAAATACCTCCATATCTGTCCTGAGTGCCCCACAAGGAAATGTAAAAGCAGAGCCTTGCTACATGCAACACATGAAAACAGCACACCGGCAGGTGATGGAAACTTCTCACCAAAGACTCTATTTCAACACCTGTATTTTCACAGCAAAAGCACTCAATAAAGAATCATGCCTCCCACTGCCCCCTGGGATGCCGGACAATGGGCTTCGCTCATCCAAGGCCTGTTTGCTTGCCCAGCCCAGCCCAGTCCCATCCCTTGGGGAGGTAAAGTCTACCAAAACTGCCAGAGACCCCTCTGTCCTTGGCTCTCTAAGACTCACAGCCAGACAAAAGATATGATACAGAGGAGTCAGGAAAATTGGCTGCTCCTGCTTGGGATGCTGTTGCTCAGGGTGCAGCCAAAATTCACAGCTATCTAACCAAGACTCACTGTAAGTCATCTGTATTATTATTTTCTGCAAGGCTAGGGAATCACTTGAGTTGAGGTGAACCACATTCAGAAATAAAATAGAATAATAAAATACATCAGAGCACTACATGATTATGACCTAATACTTTACCAGTGTTAAAAGATGTTGCATTATGTAAGTATTCTTTGATGTTTGATCCATGAGCAAAAATCCTGCTCTCACCGAAGTAAACTCACACGTTGGCTACAGCAAATTATAAGCCAAATGTAGCACTCCTTATTCCTCTTCAGGAGGCCTGGCTAAAACAATCCAGCTCAAAAGAGGCCCCTTGGGAAGTATATTACAGCTGAGGTACATTCAACAAGATTTGGGCTACCTGGCAGTCTTTACAGAGACCTACACAACCACAGAAATAGACAGCACTTTAATGAATCTCAAATTCACAGGGCAAATGAAATGTAATCAGTGGATTTCCCAAAGCAGAGAGACTGGTGCTGGCGACATAGGGAAAACTGACTTCCCAAGATCTGCAGAGAACTGCACATAAGCTTCTCAAGCTGGAGGACAATCCTTTCGTGAAATGCCTTCCACAAGAGGAGCAGTTTGGCCCACCACTAAGTTACACAGATATATATCTGTCTATGTATATCTCAATATACCCATGTATGTATATATAGAGATATATGATCAGACACAGAGAAATACAGTGCTCCATGGTGGCCAAAAATGTTGAGCTGGAAAGTCCTGGCCCCTGCATGAAAAGCTATTTGGATCAATCAGCAGCCCAGCCCAGCAAACACTGACCACCACTGGCCATAAACCAGTGCCTGCATGTTTTCCTTACACTGTGCAAATACAGGCTGTGCACCTAGTCAGTCCCACAGAACTCATGTGACCACCAGCAAGAAGGCAAACTGGCTTTTCCTCCACATCACACCTTCTATTTCCAGTGCCACAAGCTAATTTATGTGTCAGTTAGACACCCTGGAATCACTGTTCATACGTAAACAGTGCAGAATCTGGTGCAATTTCAAAACTCACTTTCCATCCCCAATTTCCCTCTCTGGAAAGACCCTTCCCTAGACAAGCGCCGGGCTGTCACGCACACATGGTGGTACAGACCCAGCCTTGTTGCTGGGATGGAGTTCTGTGCCACACTGTGACGTGCTACAACCCAGCAGAGCGATGCGATCTCCTGACCTGCAGAGCACCACAAAATCATAGAATGGCTTGGGTTTGAAGGGACATTAAAGATCATCTAGTTCAAACCCCCTTTCCATGGGCAAGGACACCTTCATCTAGATCAGGCTGGTCAGAGCCCCATCCTACCTGGCCTTTAACACTTCCAGAGATGAGGCATCCACAACTTCTCTGGGCAGCCTGCCCCAGTGCCTCACCACCCTTACTATAAGGCATTTCTTCCTAATATATAATCTAAACCTACCTTCTTTCAATTTAAAGCCATT